AGTCCAAAAATGCCACAAGTATTACGTAACATTATTGTGGTAATTTTACTACGATTTGTTTTGTGTCAATTTGTGGCTTTTTTTTGCCACACAAAATTACATGACACTTTGTAGTAAATTTACTACGAATATGTTGTGATAAGTCGTGGCAAATTTGCCACGCAACGTATTTTGGTAAAATGTGGCAATTTTACCACATTTACAATTGTGATAATATGTGGCAATTTTACCACGAATTCGCCACGAAAATTGATTGCCACGACACTATAGCAAGTGATTTATTTTGTGGTAATTTGGGGCAAATAGATGTATTGCCACGAATATTTGGAATTTGTAACGAAAAATTTCACTGCAATACTCGATGATTCTTGTAGTGTTTTAGTAAAATCTGTCAGAAAAATCGGAGAGCGATCGTAACGGCTCCGCAATTTGAAAAATGGACGTTACGACGGTCCTTTCTTCTTGGTTCCGGCAACTTTTGGTCGCCGCTCTTCACCAAGTCTCCCTTCGTCGGAACCAGTCATCATCTCGTGATGTGCTATTTGGGTTCTGGATGCTTTCTATAGGATGGTGTGAGATCTCCTTGTCCCTTGCTCTCACCTATGCTGCGGTCATCTCCTTGCTTTGGGATGTGGGTATCATCCCTCAACGTTCACGGTGGAGAGACGGAACTCGATCAACCCACCGGTGGTTTCTAATCGATCGCAATAATCTTGGGAAGGTTATTCACGGTAAACTTCGGAAGATGGCGGGCATCTCGCAAGTGAGATATGGAAAGTCAAAGTGCTATGATTTCGGGATAATGATTCTCTCGATTCAGGGCTTTGATGGAAGGAATTCCATAAGTATTCTCAATCACAAAAATCTCCCTGCATATGTGATATCAGTGATTTCAGGGAGCAATAATCAAGGGATCTTGATTTGCAGAGTAATAACTCATGTTTCTAGGTTGCTCTGCAATCATCTACACAAGGAGAGCCGCGCCTCTTACCTCGGGATCCACATAAACACTCAGAGCTTTTTCCTTAAGCAACAAAGGTTTCATTTCCTTCTAGTGCTCGGTGTTTACATCCGCTCTGAACATTTTGATAATGGCCTTTTTCGTGATGGTAGGAAACGTTTGTCACCCATCAAAATGCCCGACTTCGATYATTCTGAGATTATCAAGCAGTTTGAGAGGACTTTGGTGGGGCYTGTGCWAAACCCGGCGCAAGTACATAGAGTCAYAGCTCTACTTGCATTCTTACCATCGGTCTGGAGATGTGAGGATCGTGTGCAGGGATTCGATTTAGGGAAAGGCAAGTTCCAATTTCGATTCGAACAAGAAGCGGATCTCTTGCAAGTAATGGCAAAGAGACCATATATCACTTTGATGGAATACCTTGGAACGCTGGATCCCAACGGTCCGAGCCGAGTTTCCTTCCACCATTCCGTTATGGATTCATATCAAGGATCTCCCGGAGTATCGGTGCTACAAGGAAGGAATGATTGAGATTGGAGAGAAGTTGGGCGAGCTCCTGGCGTATGAGGTACAACCACCACGGGTTCAAGTGGTGCTGGAGAGTGCATTACCTATGGTGGTGGATCGAGACCTTGAGTTCAAGAACCGAGAGATCATTACGGTTCAGTTTAAATACGAAAAGCTTGATTGTTATTGCAAGATATGCTACCGAATAACACATGACAAGCTTACCTGCCCTGAGAGACCGATGGCACGCACAACAAGAGGCTACTCTCGCCGTCACGGAGGTGAGGATGATAGACGACGCAAGGAAGAACCATCTAATGTGGTACCAGCACAGATCCAGAACCGTCGCGGCGATCGACACGGTGGGGACAAAGTGGCAGAGAGGGAGAATCCTGCGACTCAGAGCAAGCTCCCTGTTCGTCGGAATCTCTTTGGAGATGAGGGCTCCTCTGTATCAAGCAGGGACGGCTCAGTGGCAGATACCGTGCTGGCTCTGCCCTGGGGTCGGAAATCCGGTCCGATGAGTGGAGAGGAGAAGCGTCGGGGGAAACGACCGGCTAGTGAGCTTTTGAACCCATCAACGGATCTCCAGGCGCGACAGATGGGCAACGAGGAACGGAGAGGGGAAGTTACGCTCTCGAAAGGAGAGCAGGCGGAGGGGCGAGAGCCGAAGGATTGCTTCGTTACGGCGACATGGTATCGCGACCCGGTTAAAGTTACTCAGAACGTGAATCAGGCTAAGCGAGGGAAGGGGAACGTGAGTCAGGCTCCCTCGACGGGGATGGGGTCGATCGAGCCGGCGAAGCCACCTATTCCGGCGGCTGCTGGGAAGAAACAAGAGAGAGGGTCGGCTGTCGATCCAGTCCCCGAGTTGGGCTTTGATGGAGTTATTTCTCCCCTAAAAGGCCTCTTCACAGGCCCAAGACCTTTAGTGGTGGCCACAGATGGGCTAAACGTGGGCCCAAAAGCTAACAGACCAAAGGGGAAGCCCAAAGTCGGGACTAAGACTAAGAATGTTTTAGGAGTGCGCAAGAAAATTGGCAACAGCCCGTTCAGAGGGATTCGGGTTCAGAAACAAGCTTCCATCGCGGCTAAAGTTTCACTTAGAGATGATTCGCCTTTTTGTGACTTTCCGCAGCCGTTGCCTTCGAGGCCGACTCCGAAAAACTCGAAGAAACTACAAGACCTGGTGGTTGGAGAAAAACGACCCACAAGTGAATAAAT